GGGGGGGAGAGGGACGGGGGGAGGAGGCGACGCGGCCGCGGGGACAGACCCGGAGGAAAGGATGAGAAGGGGACTCCAGCCGCCGGCCCCTGCAGCGCAGCCGCCCGCACCGTCCACGGACTCCAGAGCGGCTTCCGCCGCCTTCCCAGCCCGCTTTGCCGCCGGCACCTTCATCCAGATCCGCAGCACCGGCGCGGCGGCGGCGGCGCCCTGTGTTGTCTCCGCCGCCGCTTCCCAGGCTCCCGGTGCCTTTGCTCCGGCGGCCGACGGCGTCCCGCCCGCTGGCAGCTCGCTGTACTGCACCCCTCACGGACCCGCCGGCAGGACGGCGCTGCTGCAGCCCGCTCTCGGCGGAGGCGGAGGCCGCCCCCCGGTAATGTTCCCCCGTCCCCGCGGGAGGGTGAATGGGACGGAGGGGAGCAGCGCCGGGCGGGCCCTCTTCCTGCCGCCGGCCGGGCCCGGGGCGGGGGGCGAGGAAGGCAGAGACGGCGCTTTGTTGTAATAAACTTTCCCGACTCCTTCCCGCCCCCCGCTCCGGGCCGCCGCGCCGCTGCCGGGTCTGATTGAAAGGAGGAGGAAAAAAAAAAAAAAAAAGAAAATAGAGATAAGAGAAAATTAGGGAGAGAAAAAAAAAAAAAATTCCTCCCAGCCACGTCCCGGCGTACAGAGCCCGAATCCAGCGCCGGGAGGGCTCCGTTCGGCCGGGCCCGCGCCCCCTCTCCGTGGGGCCGGGCAGGCCGGGGGGCGGGGGGCCGGGCCGCGCCGTGCCCCGCCGGTGTCTCCGCTTCACCCCCGGAGCCGCCGGTGACGTCTCGCACACGTGCGCGGAGGCCGCGGCTGTGACTGGGAGCCGGGCGGGCGGGGGGGCCGATCCGAGCGGGGGAGGGGGACGCCGCTTCCTCCTCCTGCCGCCGGCCTGGGACAGCCCGAGAGCCGGCCGGCCGCCCCCGGCCCCGGCCCGCCGTCTTCTCCGCCGCCCTCGGAAATGCCCCTTCAGCAGGTCAGTGACTCGCGGGGCGGCGGCGGCGCGCCTCCGCCCCCCCGCGGCGCCCTCCGCCCGCCGCCGCGACCACCCCCCGGACACCCCCCGCCGCCCCCTCCTCCCCCGTCCCCCCCGCTCCCCTCGGCGGGGTTTCCTTTGTCCTCGCCGTTTTCGGGTGCGCGCTCGGCCCTCCCGGGTTCCGCGAAGTTGCCGAGCGGGGGGGGGGGGCGCGGCGCGGGGAGCTCCGGGGTCCCCCTTCCCGCGGTGCGCATCGGACTCCCCCGTTGGGGCCGGGCTGTCACGGGGCCGGGCGGGGGCCGCGCTCGCCTCACCTGGCCGGCCCGAGCCCGCGCTACCTGCCGCACGCGGCCCGGCCGCCGGCTGCCATGCGGGCCGGTGCCCGCTAGGGCCGGGCGAGGTCACCGAACGCTCTGCGCGGCGGCGTTGAGCGGCGGGTCTCGGAGCGCGGCGGCAGCGCTCACCTGTCAGCGCCTCTGCCTCGCACCGGCCTGGGCGTCGCGGGGCCCGGCTGCCGCCCTCGTCCCGAGTTGCTCGTTGAGAATTCGGCGGTGTCCCGCGCTCTCGGGCTTCATTCGAGGCGGCTTTTCGCGGTTGTTGGATAGCGGTGGGAGTTGGGAGGCGGTGGGGTTGAGGCTCACCGCGTCCCACCTGAAGCTAAGGAGGAGCATCCCCGCTGTGCAGGATGAGCGATCCTTTGGTGCGCCGTTTGTCTGATGGCTGACCGGTGTCAAGCAGGCTGCTTTGAGCTGTTTTGCAAATATTTGTCTTTCCTGTGTGATGGCTGGGTTCCTAGATGGTGGTGCTAAGGGCAGCGAGCGTAGTAGAGTGATTCTGGGGGAATAGACGTGCAGGCATTTTGGGAATGGTGCTGATGTTGTAGGGGACTTTTGCAATTTCACTTCAGCGAGCGCTACGAGATCCTTGAGCATGAGTTCAATGTATGTTTTTGGCATAACTTTCACCTCTTCAATGGGGGGAACTCCGTTGTGGAACCTAGGCAGGTTGATTCCTTGCGTAAAGGTTTGGAAGCAAGGCGGTGATTCTGGACTCTGTCTTCAAGAAGTTCCCACCAGCTCTGAGCAAGTGAGATATATCTCCTCAGACCCCCGTGTTTGCTTTGGGGGAGAATTGGGATGGGGGAGGAATAGGGTGGTCTGGCTGACAGTATCTCCAGCCTCAGCTTGGCACCCTCCCAGGGCGATAAGCAGCCCGCAGCTCATGCCAGGAAGCTGTTCATCCTTCTGCATCTCAACAGCTGTGCTCCTGTGAGTGCCACTCTCGGAGCTGTGCCGCTTTGCCGCACGCCTGTCTTTGGGGAAGTCGTCCTGAAGCGTTGCAGTGCTCTGCATTCTTCTGCTCTGCAAAGAATGGCCAAAGCTCTTTCATCTTCCTGGCAGGGAGACAACGCAGCCTTTTAGCAGTTCTTTGACTCCCATCTCATTTTCACCAAATCTCACAGATGATTTTCTGGGACTGGGAGATGAGGGTATTTTCCTGGTTGTTCTTGGCTGAGCTGTTTTGGGATGTCAGATACTGAGAAGAGTGAGAAGCTGCTGGGTGGTTGAGGCAGCAAACTCAGATGAGCAGCGCTGGTATAAATATAGTACTTGATTTAACTGAACTACAAGTACTGCATGGAGATCCTCAGCAGAAATTAAGGCCCTGCTATGCAAAAGACTGTAGGGATAAGTCTGAAATTTGTCCAGCACACCTGTGCTGGTTAGGGTTATGAAAATGCTCTGGCTTTGCAGATGTAACTGGACTGGAAACCCACCTAACACTTCCAAATATAAACTATGGTGTAAGTGAAAAGGAGCCAGTATGGCAGGATACGGTTGAGGCTGCTCAGAGAGGTGTTTATACCAGCAAAATAAAAAGTTTATTTTGCCAAAGTAAGCTGTTTCCCCTTCTGCAAGTTTATTGGTTACTTTATCTATGATTGTAAGCATAACTGTGCTGGAAGAGCTTTGAAAGGTAGCCTAAACCATAACATCAGGTAGCTTCAGCCTCATAGAGATGACTGTTTGCACTCCTCCATCTCCCAAGCAGGCATCTCAGTGCTGTCCCCTTCCAGCTCCTTGCTGTGTCGCTGCCTGTTGTGACAGCTCCTTGGACCAGGAGCTCACCAGACTTTGTAGCAGGGGAGCTGAGGTTGTGACCCAGGCTACCTCGCCCATTCAGCATCAGGGACTTGTTCATGATTCCTGTAGAGCTAATTGAAGGTGTTACTGGGCATAACTGAGCCTCCCCCATGGCTCCAGCACAGACAGTAAGAAGAACTAGGCCTTGCAAAGGTGTCAGCTTGCATTCCTTGGGTTCTGGAGCAAGCCTGAGCTGCTGCCTGTGGAGGCAGGGTGAGTCCATCCAACGGCTCCGTGCTGCAGTAATGGGAAGGGGTCGTGTAATCCTAGAATCATAGAATGGACTCACAGGGATCTCTGAGTCCAGCCAGCTCCATTTCCCTCCCTGCTTCTGCTTCCCTTCTGCCAACCCGAGGGCTCCTCAGGCTTCCTGGGGCAGCATGACTTGCCAGCTCACTGGAAAACTAGCCCTAACCGTAATACATAAATAAGTTTTCTGCTGGGCAAGCAGGTTGAACCAGCTAAGGGAATAAGGTGTGGTAAAGTGTCAGGGACCATCAAGGGAGGGAGGTGGCTGGGAAGAGGGCACCAGGGTAGAGGGAGAGCAGCTAGATGATTGACACTATACTGTTTTTTAGATGTAAGAAAAACATTTTTTTGCTCAGAGTACAGATTGCCCAGAGAGGTTGTGGATACCCCATCCCTGGAGGTGTTCAAGGCCAGGTTGGATGGGGCCTTGGGCAGCCTGAGGTGGTGGTTGGCAGCCCTGCCCACAACAAGGGGTTTGGAACTAGATGGTCTTTGAGGTCCCTTTCAACTCCAACTATTCTGTCATTCTATGATTTTGATGGCAGCTCCTCATGAGAATGTGGCCTGTGTGAGAGAAATTTAGGTTTGATGAGGTACCCCCACCAGGCTGTTGCTGGTGTTGGTTCCTCTCTTGATGTGAGAAAGTCACTACCATTTGCAAATCAGGGTGTTTAAAAATGGAGCGACTCTAAGTGAAAGCTGCTCAAAATGTTTCTAATTCAAATAGCAGAGAATTTCTTACTGTCTTTGGGTTATAAAGATAAGCCTTTAAGAAGAGGCCCATTTTCTTAGCCATGAGAAAATGTTTAAATTGAGACACCACCCACATGTTAAGTCCTTTTTAAAAGGGGCTAAATCCTCTTAACAAGAATATCTTTAGAGAACTTCTGTGGCCTTTAGATGACATGAGCTCTGGAGAGGCTGGTTCGGCATACTTCAGAAGGGGGCGGGAGGATTTACATTTCCAAACTGAATACTTAGCACCTCTCTCCTTTTCTGGTGGTTTAGAAAGCACCTCTTCCTGCCTCCTTCTCAGCAAGTCACAGCTGGAATGGGAGAACGAGGGGGGTAATACATAATCTTCTACGTGTTGGTTATAGGAGTGGGCTTAATAGGACATAAATGCTGAAGAATGATGTAAGGCATGGGAGAAAAAGTTGGACGTGGCATAAAGGAAGTGGGCAGTTAATTAATTAGTAGCTGTTCTTTATTTTGTGGGAATAAGAAGCTTTGTCTGTCAAGAAGGGATAGGCATTTTCATATTCAGACCTACTTTCATATTACTTTGGTTGATAGTTTCTGTTAATGAATGCTACTTTCAGGCCTTTGCTTTTGGAATAAAATGCATTTAAATCAAACAAACTCCCATAAATCTTCTCCAGGGACAAACTGCTTCTGAGCCCAAGGAGCTACCGCATGGTCCTTTGGCACAGCTGTGTGAGGAGTGTTCAAAGAGGTATAAATCCTGGTTGCCCTCCACGTGCCTGCGAGCATCTAGTGGAAAGCAGGCATCCAACCGAAACTGTACAGGAATAGCTGGTAGCTCGTTGTGCTTGTTGATGGTGGATTCACTCTCTAGAAGAGCTCAGCTGTGTCGGTGTGGCTTTGTCTGCACCAGAGCTACTGAAGTACAATAGGTTTATTTCCCCATGGTAATAAGGACTTCTGGCAGGTTTCCACGAGCAGCTGAGCCTCTCAAAATGCTTTAGTTTTTCCAGAAGAAGCAGTCTTGCTTTTCCCTCCTTGTCATCCCTGTGGCCTTTCCTTGCCCTACCACAGGCCTGGCAGTGCTCTTTCCTCTTCTCCGTTCTTGGGAGCATCCAGTTGCTCCTTTGGGTTGGTGCTGTGCTGTTTTACTGGGGTAAAATAGCTGGCGCTGATGGACATTAAGCCTGCCATAAGGTAGATATTGGGAACATGCGACCCAAGGTGGGTTGAGTGAGATGAAGGAAGGAAACTGAGCTTTCCCTTTTGGTGGTGTTAAGGTGTTAAAGCAGCTCACTGGTCCTTAATTTTCAGAAATCGGTATTTTCTGTTCTCTTAATGACAGGTCTCTTCCTCGTGCCACCAACCTGCTTGGCAAAGATAGGATATGGGTCACATTAGAGCCAGTTTATTTTTCTGTGGAGGCTGCTTCAACTAACTGAAGAGTTGAGGATATTTTATTTCCCTTCATTTTATCCTTGGTACTTTGGTGTTGCTGTCTACAGTTATAGTGTTTCCGTATAGTTACCTTCTCCATGCTGAAGCATTCTAGATTGTAATTTCTCCTGAAATGAAAGCCATATGTGCAAAAATAGAGGTGCCCTTTTATAAAAGAATTGCGTGACTATCAGCAAATCTGTCTATTAGTTATGAGTTTGTACTTGTGGACTGGTGGCTTTGGCAGAAGTTTCAAAGACGTGGTAGGCAACTTTGCAGGCCTAGCAGGAGTTAGAGACCCCATCAGAGTCAGGCTGTGTCACAAGGCCTTACCTTACCCTCTCCCTAGAGGAGTCGCAGGAGGTGTGGAGCAGAGGGGGTTGGTTGTTACAGTAATTGGCTCATTAGAAAGACCAACCACTGTGTGGTAGATGGAGGGGGGGGAAGAAAATTGAGTAGCACCTT